ATATATATATATATAATAAAATCAAACACAAAGTTTAAATAGGCTGTTCACTTTGCAAGGGGATTTAAAATTTGCAGGAGAAGTTTCCCCCTTGCTTGGTGAATGTAGTCAAATTTCACCCCATCAAGTGCAAGGAAACAGTATTTTTGTTTGCACATTATTGGATGATGGAACTCGGCAGAGCTTCACCTCATTCACTAAGAGGAACCATGCGCTGCAAAGTGCTAATTCCCTTGCACAGTGAACCGCTTATTTGCCTTTAGTAAATCGACCCGTTTACCTCCAAGAATTTTAGTTTTCCCGAATCATCATTTCTTTGCAGTGTAATCTTCTCGCTTTGACTTTGTCATCATTTGTTTGTCATAACAGAGGTTATGATACGGCGCTGGGAAGGCACGCAAATCGCTTTGTAGGCTGGATGACAAAAGACGTGAAGAAAGATTCTGCATCTGAGCCTGCTAACGGTAGTGATACGCTGACAGATGCTTCCAAACCGGATTCGGATAAATCCACAACAGAGTATGAGAGAGCCAGAACTACCACTTCTGCTTTGGAAATAAAAACTGCAGCCACATCATTCCTCCAACCCTGTCAGAAAATAACTGGACTTCTATTATGCACAATGAAAGGTCATCATCATGAACAGGTGTTCCAGTTTGTCCACCTTGTGCTCACAAATGTCTTCTATTCGCAGATACACCACATACACTGATCAGGCATAACACTAGGCCACCCGCCTAATACTGAGTAGATTCCCATTTTCCCACCAAAACAGCCCTGACCCATAGAGACATGGACTCCACTAGACCTCTGAAGGTATAATGTGGTATCTGGCACCAAGCCGTTTGTGCTACAGCAGCTCTTCTATTGGACTACATGGGCCGGCCTTCGCTCCCAACGTGAATCAATGAACCTTGGCCACTCATGACCCTGTTGCCGGTTCACGGATTTTTCTTACTTGGACCACTGCAGACCGGGAACATCCCACAAGAGATGTAGTTTTGGAGTTGCTCTGACCCAGTCGTCTAGACATCACAATTTGGCACTTGTCAAACTCACTCAAATCCTCACACAACCATTTTTTCTGCTTCCAACACATCAACTTCAGGGTCAAAATGTTCACTTCCTGCCAATTATATCCCCCAAATTCCAGGTGCCATTGTAATATATCCCCCCACTTCCAGGTGTCATAGTAATATATGCCCCCACTTCCACATGCCATTGTTATATATCCCCCCCCTCCATTTCCAGGTGTCATTGTAATATACCCCACCCCCCACAAACTTCCAGGTGCCATTGTAATATATCCCCCCTCTTCCAGGTAACATTGTAATATATCCCCCCCACTTCCAGGGGCCATTGAAATGAGTAAATCAATGACAATCAATCACATGTCTCCCTAGCCAGTCATTAGGAGGTTAATGGCCAGTGATGCATGCTGGGAGAGGAGATAAATACTTGGGGTGGACCATGTGAGCTCTCTCTTCCTCCTCTGGGCCTTACCTGGTGGGAGGCTGTTATAGACCATCTGATATAGCTGGGCCTGGAGCCTGGGGACTAGTCATGTGCTTACACTGAGGCCTGGGTCTGGTGGCCAAGTGGCTACTACTTATATCAGGGATGAAGATGATTAATAATTTCTGATTCAAGTGCTGCTTTGCCAGGGGCTCTACACACAGATTGCCATGTCTGGCTTAAAGGTCCTAGTCTGTGTTAGCAACAGTTACCCTATAGGAGTCTACACCAGCCTGGATGATCCTGACCCTCAACCTCTCTCCCTGTAGTTCCCCAACATCATATCTACACTCTGGACCTCGCTTTTATCGGTCACCCCTCACCATGGAGGGTGGTAAGTGCCAATGGGTAGTTTGAATCTGGATTCCCTTAGACGCCATGGATACCCCTAGATGCCATGGATACCCCTAGACACCATGTCTAGAGGTATCCAGATTCAAACTACCCATTAGCACTTACCAACCTCCATGGTGGTGATGATGGATGGTTCTACTATTCTCTGCGGGCTACTTAGGGGGTGAGCTGCAATAGTAAAAACAAAATAATCTAAATTTTTCCAAAATGATTCCCTAATACAAATATTTATTTACAAAAAAAAACATTTCAATTAAACTAATAATTAACTTATCAAAGCGTTCCTTGACATTACAAGCCTGCTTTGTGCTTCCTAAGCCATTATAGTGACTCCAGCACCGCAGACCCTAGAGTTGTGATCCACCTTTTGATCGTTCCTGTTTTCATTCTTCTCCTTCCCTCTGCCATTCTCGGGATTTCTGGGGAATTTTAAATGTTAAGTTTACCAGATTCTCCTATTACAGCGTCTCTGAGGTCAGTTCAGGACACGGTCCAGCATTACAAACCTCCTCCCGTCCCCCCGCCACCCCCCCACCCCTTCGCTCCAAACACTATCAGAGTGCTTTTCATTACTTTTGTCTGCTGTGTGAAGGACTGGTGCTGAGCACAAAGAGTCAAACCGCCGGCTAATGGTAGAGTCACGGCTGCGATTGTTTCAAAGTTCAGATAAAAATATCATCCGAACAGGTGCTGGGAATTCATAACATAAAAACTGTTTTACGAAGGACCAGCCTAAAAATCTAAGAAAATGCATCGAGAAGGGTTTCCAGAAACCATATGACGAAGAGTTTCAATTGAAGGGCCGATTCAATGGGCATTGAGAAGAGTAAAGAGATTCACAGCGACCCATCAGTTGTAGCCATTTGTCCTTTGAGATCAATCAAGAGCCGAGGATGAGCAGAGAGATATCAGTAAAATTACTGGTTTGGATAAACGTTCACCATAATGAGCCTCTAATTTTGCCATATTTCCTGTTTAGGCAATTTTTTTGGACAAATGATGGACTGAGCTCCATCGAAACGTCGATAATAAAAAACTGATGCTTTGCCGATGCCGTGTCGCCATCACAAGACCCGTGAGTCCCTCTATATCTACCTGGCTAGTCTGTATTTGTGGGAGGAGTCCTGCACAGTTTAGCTTCCACTGCCCTCTGTTCACCTGTCGGCCATGTTTTTGATATCACACCCTCCCTTCCCCCTCTCTTTCTCACTTTTTTTCCCGATTGGGTATGCCCCCTTTTAGGCATACTGACCATTCCCACCACGGCGCAACTCAGGTCAGCTTTTGGCTCCCGGGCCTCTACGCTCTCCTTGCTTTCGGGTCATATCAGCAGGAATCCTTCTACAAATATATGTATATATATATTTGCACCGATAGTGGTTTTTCGGTACTGAGAACTAGTACCGATATTTATATTTCGGTACTCGC